ACAACCTCCCTGGGCAGCCTGTTCCAGTGCTCCGTCACCCTCACCGTAAAGAAGTTCTTGTGCACATTTGTTTCCCCTTGTCCTGTCTCCACATACCGCTGAAAACAGTCTGGCCTCGCCACTCTGCCCCCCACACCTTAGATATTTATAGACCTGGATCAGGTCTCCTCTCAGTCTTCTCTTCTCAAGGCTAAACAGACCAGCTCACTCAGCCTTTCCTCATAGGAGAGACACTCCAGGCCCTTCACCATCTTTGTGGCCCTCCGCTGGACTCTTTCCAAGAGGTCCCTGTCTTTTTTGTACTGGGGAGCCCAGAACTGGACACAGTACTCCAGATGAGGCCTTACCAGGGCAGAGTAGAGGGGGAGGATCACCTCCCTTGACCAGCTGGCCACGCTCTTTTTAATGCACCCCAGAATGCCGTTGGCCCTCTTGACCACAAGGGCACACTGCTGGCTCATGGCCAGCCTGTCGTCCACCAGGACACCCAGATGGCTGTGCACTGATATTTTACACATAATGCCTCTTAGAACTTAATTCAGTTTGTAAATATTTATGCTCTTGAGTAGACACAAAAATAATTGGAGGTGCTTAAGGCTGGGTTGGATGGGGCCCTGTGCAGCTTGACCTGGTGACAGCCCTGCCCATAGCTGCAGGTTGGCACTGGGTGGGCTTTAAGGTCCTGCCCAGCCTAAGCCAGTCTATGATTTTTATGAAACAGAAAGCAACTGTTACAATTCTTTTGTCTCTTTCACACAGAAGGAAGATCTGCACATCGTTTGTGAGAGATTTACTACCAGTAAACTGCAGAAATTTGAAGACTTGGCTAGTATTTCAACGTATGGTTTTAGGGGTGAGGTAAGCTCTTCATCAAGGTTTTGAAATTGTTCACTGTTTATAGTTATCCTTTTGTACTGCTGTTCATGTAACTTCTCATTCTGAACACACTCTACAGAAGGTTCTGTTTTCTGAGAGTCTGTCTTGTGAATACAATCAAGATATATTTCCATGTCTAAATGGGTTCCTAGGGAGAGGTATATATTCTTGTTTTCTGGAGTAAGAAAACTTTTAATTTAGGCAAGGCCTTCTTGTCACATGTTGCTTCAGGAGTCTGCAGGTGAAAGACCATGAAAAACTTGACAGAATGGTAAATCCTTGATGACAGACATTGGACTAAATACAATAATTAAAGGCAGAAGAATGTCCCGGATAAAAGTCAGTTTTTTGGGTTTCCCTAAACCCACATTCATGAGAGCTCTACTGACCTGCTATTTTCTTGTGCAAGTTTTTATTAGTTACTTGCAAATAGTGTATAAAAACCTTGTGATGTTCTTTGAAGTATTTAGACTTGTTTAGCTACCAATGATCTCTAGAGCAAAGTTTAAAAAGATGCTTTTTCTTTCTCTAGGCATTGGCTAGCATCAGTCATGTTGCCCATGTTACAGTAACAACTAAAACAGCTGATGCAAAGTGTGCATACAGGTAAGCTAGTTATTATCCAAGTAACTTATGCTGTATGTGATAATGAACAGATTCTCTCTACTGTGCTTGGTGGTGGTGGGGATGGATACTGAAGGAATATTTTGTTTCTAGAATAGTTATAAACAAGGCCCAGAAACAGAAAACATATCAGAAAACATAGCTTGAGTAATTTCTGTTCCAGAATGTAAAGATGAACTTTACCTAACAGTGCAGTTTAAAAGTGGAGGGGATCTTAAAAGGCACTGAACTTCAGCAGCTAATGTAGGGTAAATTTGTCTTTTTCTCATTTTGGGATAAAATATATGTACACAGTCAGCATTTCTTGCAAATTTCCAAAGTCTTTGAGCACAGGAGTTTGCTTCATGTTGCCTGATCAAAGGAATTTTGAGTACTCTCCTCAAAACTCAAACTCAAATATGAGTAAAAATATTTCTATTAATTTTTTTTTTTTTAAATGAGGTATGTAGAGTCTGTGAAATGTCAAATAAGGAAAAAAAAAAGAGTGTCCTTTGAAATTCTAGTCTATATAATCTGCTGAAATAACTGAATGGATCAGAAATCATTTATGCTAAAATCCTTTTATGGACAGCAAAGAAACACACCTTATATGTAAAGTCAAGAATGTCTTAACAGTATAACTCAAGTATAAACTTTAGGGGGAGATTATTATGAGTACAGGTCTAAATATTAAAGAGACTAAAGGACAATAATCCTACTATTACAGGAAAGTCTGAGTAGTGCAATTTCAAAACACATATCCTTTTATCTGGTACTTTTTCTGTTATTCTCACTTTCCTGCTTCTCCTGTGTGTACAAAGGTTATTGAGGACTACTTTCCTCTAGCAGGAAGTGGGGTGTTGCAGTTAATCCCCAGCAAACCAAGTTCTCTACTGGTAGGACTATGATGATGACAGGGTTTCTGTCCACTTATATCTTTTTTAGTTTTTTTTTTTTCCCCTACCTCTATTAACTGTTGGACAACTTTTTATTTTCTGCTTAGAGCTTCTTACAGTGATGGAAAAATCAAAGCCCCCCCAAAACCCTGTGCTGGAAACCAAGGGACACAAATCATGGTAGGTTGGTTGGTTGATTTGTTTTTGCACATTCTCCTATTGTTCCCAGGTCTTTATATCACCTATTGTTATGTGTTGCATTGCAAGGTATATGACAGCATCACTTAGAATATGTTTGAAATGTTTTTTTGTGTGCCTTGATTGCAACAGCTGTTTCAATATTTATTTACATTTCATTAAAACATTTTAGTTGGAGAATCCAGTGCTATGTGCAATGGGAGAAATGCAACTTTCAATGGAAAGCAGATGTTTATGGGGTTGTGGTGTTAGTTTAGAAACAACAAAGAACTTAAACATTGCATTTTATTAGGTGAAACTAAGCAAATAAGAAAACACTGAACATTGATCCTTTATAATGGGCCCTTCATGCTAGGCTGCGTAGGGATGGAGTCAGGAAAGCCAGGGCACAGCTTGATGCCAAAAAGAACAAGAAAGGCTTCTACAGGTTCCTCAGCCAGAAAAGGAAGGTCCAGGAGAGTTTACCCTCCTCTAGTGAGTGACCCAGGCAGGCTGGTGATAACGGACAAGGAGAAAGCTGAGGTACTTAACTTTTTTGCCTTGGTCTTCCCTGATATCTGCTTGCCACACAGGCCTCAAATGTTTGGTTTGCTAAGAGGGGACTGGGGAAGCAATATTCCTCCTGCTGTAAGCGAAGGTCAGGTTCACAACTACCTGAGGAACTTGAACATCAACCAATTTATGTGGGTCCCAATGAGATGCATCCCAGAGTCCTCAGGGAATTGGCTCAAGTAGTTGCCATGCCACACTCTATGATACTTGAAAAGTTGTAGCAATCAGGTGAATTCCATTGTGACTGGAAAAAAAGGTTACATCCTACCTGTTTTTAAGAAGTGTAAAAAGGATGACCTCAGAACTACTGACCTATGAGATTCATCTCATCTCCAAGGTCTTGCAGCTGGGTTGAGGGAATTCCAATTATCAATAAAAGCTGAAGGATGAAAGGATTGAGCGCAGCCCTTCTGAAAAAGACCTGGAGGACTGGTGGATGAGAAGCTGGACATGAGGCAGCAGCGTGCCCTCACAGCCCAGGAAGCCAACTGTGTCCTGGGCTGCATCAAAAGAAGTGTGGCCAGCAAGTTGAGGGAGGTGATCCTGTCCCTCTACTCTGTGCTGGTGAGGCTTCACCTGGAGTACTGCATCCAGACATTGGATAGATGCAGACCTGTTGGAGTGCATCCAGGGAAGGGCTACAAAAGTGATCCACAGAATGGAACACCTCTCATACAAGGACAGACCGAGAGAGCTGGGGCTGTTCAGCCTGGAGAAGAGAAGGCTGTGAGGTGATCTGATAGTGGCCTTTCAGTATCTAAAGGGGAGCTATAGGACAGGAGGGGACTGACTCTTTAGCATGGTCTATGGTGATAGAACAAGGGGAAATGGTTTCAAGCTCAAAGATGGAAAATTTAGGTTAGATATAAGGAAAAAATATTTTACATTGAGGGTGGAGGGCACTAGAACAGGTTGCCCAGTGATGTGGATGGTGCCCCATACCTGAAGACTTTCAAGGTGAGGCTGGATCAGGCCCTAGACAATCTGATTTAGCTGTGGTGTCCCTGTTCGTTGCAGGGGAGTTGGAAGGGACCTCTGAAGGCTATCAATTCCAACTCCAAAGATTGTATGATTCTATAAACTAAAATGTTGTCAGAAAATTTTGTTCTATTTTTTCAGAAAGTAGTTTAATTATATAGTGATTTTTTTTTAATGGTCTTTAATTTTGACCTTTGTCTCTTGTAGGTTGAAGATCTTTTTTACAATGTAAATACAAGGAGGAAAGCTTTAAAAAATCCGAGTGAAGAGTATGCAAAAATACTAGAAGTTGTTGGCAGGTAAACTGAAATAAGCAGCTCTAATTCCTTTTGCCATGAAGAACATGGTTTTTCAGAGAGATTAGTGTATACGATATTGTGATGTTGTTACTGTTTTTTTTTGTTTGTTTTTGTTTTTTTTTTAGTGATGGAGAAAATTTAGATGATGAAAAACTATAGTCAATTCAAGTGTATTATTACCTAGAATCCCAGCAAACAAATAGTGATAGACTTGAATAAGTGAACTTCGAATAAACTTGACTTGAAAAGAATCCAAGTAAAAACTGAAAAACTGAATGTGAAAAAGCTGAATGGCAATTTGACTTCTTATAAATGTACATATCACTTTAGCTACCAGATGTAATGTTTCCTTATTGGGTTCCTTTTCTGTATCTGATATGTGCAGAGGTTTGTAAGCAGGACCTATGCAATTTAACCACATAAAACCGCTTTGCACTCTCAGTAAAAACAAAAGATAACAAAGAATAGCAGGGCACTGTGTTAAGTTTTAGCTCTCTCCCTGAATGAGCTACTTAGTCTTCACTGTGAAGGAACACTTCAGCCAGGAAGTTAAGAGGCAGATCTCACTGTTATGTGGAGTGGGCTGATCTGAAGTCTTGCTGAGTTTGTCTTCCAACTCAGCCTTCTATGATGGAATGATGGCATCAGTGCACAAAGGAAAGGCAACAACTGATGTCACCTATGTGAACTTGTGGAAAGCCTTTGACATTAAGCCAGGGTTATGTAGCTGATGTGTATTGTAACTTGGCCTTGGATAAAAGGCAGCTGAACTGTCCAGGTACGGTGGAAGCCAGCCATTTCTCAACCCTTTCTTCATACAGATTGAGAGTTGATTCTCTTAAGAGAAAAGCTAAATGTTCTCAGTACTAAAACTATGTATTGAAACTGAACTAACAAGATCTGTGTAAGTTAATTAGGTTTGTTGTTATTTTTAATGTTTTTTTTTAATTATTATTTTAGTTTTTCTTGAGAAATAAACTAAGCTGATTTTTTTTTTTCCCCTCCCACATGGTTACAGTTATAAACAGATCAAATTTTCTTAATATCTGTTAGATCTACAAAAAGTTTAGTTCGGCTCAAGTTGCATTACTGTCTAGCAGGGAATGATTTTTGGACCTGTTACTAGCTGCTTTTTCAGCATTCACAAGCAGGAGCCCTTCATTCATTTTTCTTTCATGTACTGCAGTCTTATGTTGGCTTTTTTTTTTTTTTTTTTCCTCAGGTATGCCATCCATAACTCAGGTATCAGCTTTTCAGTTAAAAAGGTATGTAAATAAAGGCCTTATAATTTCACCATATACATATCTGGTCAAGTTTTTATATATATTTTTCTATCACACACACATAGATATGAAAGCAACAGAATAGTTGTATTGCCTCTTTTGCAGAGGGAGTAGCATATGGAGCTTTCCCTTGTACTGAAATGTTGAAGTGTACTTTGTTGCAGTTGAGTAGAAATCACTTCAGCAAACAGTAAAGAAAACAATGTATTTCTCAGGTGTTTGGTGTTTTCTGTGTGGTCAATGTTTCATTTGTTTTAGCTTTATTATAGAATCATAGAACGACTTTGGTTGGAAGGGATCTCAGAAGATCATCTAGTTCCAACCTCCCTGCTGTAGGCAAAGCTGCAAGCCATCAGCTTCTTGAGGCAGCCTATGTCAGTGCCTTGCCACCCTCATGAACAATTTTTTTCTTATATCTAATATTAAACATATCTTTTTTTTTTAGTATAAAGCCATTCCCCCTTTTCTTATCAGTACAGTCCCTGCTAGAGTCCCTTGCCTCCTTTCCTGTCAGCCTCCATTAGGTACTGGAAGGCCATTCTCAGGTCTTGCCAGAGCTGAACAACTCCAGCCTGTTTTCATAAGAAAAATGACTCAGCCCTCTGAGCATCCTCATGGCCTCCTCTGGATCTGCTCCAACAGGTCCATATCTTGCTTATGTTGGTGGCCCCTGAGCTGAATGCAGTGCAGGTGGGGTCCTGAGAACAGAGCAGGAAGGGAGAATCGCCTCCTTTGCCCTGCTGGTCATGCTACTTTTGAAGCAGCCCAACCAGGATACAGCTGGTTTTCTGGATTGCAAGTGCACACAGCATGTTGAGTTTCTTTCTCATCAACTGATGCCCCCACGCCCTGCTTACGGCTGCTCTTAATCCATTCTCTGCCCAGCCTGTATTTGTGCTTGAGATTGCCCTGTTGTAGGGGCAGGACTGTGCACATAGCCTTGTTGAACTTCATGAGGTTTGCACAGACCCACACCTTGAGCCTGTCTAAGTCCCTCAGTGTGGCATCACTTTCTTTCTGCATGTTGACTTCACCACATAGCTCAGTGTTGTTGGCAAACTTGATAAAGGTGCACTCAATCCCACTGTCCATGTTGCTGACAAAGATGTTAAAGAATGTCAGATCCAATATCAACCCCTGAAGGACATCACTTGTCCCTGGTCTCTACCTGATCATTGTGCTGTTGATCACAACTCCTTGAGTGCAACCATCCAAACAATTCCTTATCCACTGAATGGTCCATCCATCAGATCCTTGTCCATCCAGTGTGGAGACAAAGATTTGTGAGATAGTGTCAAATGCATTGCATTTGAAGTCCAAATAAATAATGTCAGTTCTTCCCTTTTCCATCAGTGCTGCAATACTGTCAAAGAAGGTCAATATATTTTTTCAGTTACAATCTGCCCTCAGCAAAGTCATGCTGGCTGTCACCAATGACCTGTTTTCCATGTGTCTTACCTTAGTTTCCAGAAGGATCTGCTCCATGATCTTGCCAATCACAGACTGGCTGGTAGTTCTCCAGGTCTTGCTTTTTTTCTGTTTTTAGAGAAAACAGGGGTTCTGTTTTTCCCTTTTCTGATCACAGAGAACTTGACTGGACTGCCATAACTACTCCAATATGATGAGTAGTGGCTTAGCAACTTTATCTACCAGTTCCCTCAGAACCTTTGGATGCATCTCGTCAGGTCTCATGGATCTGTGCACCTTCAGGTTCCTTAGATGGCTTCAGACCTAATTTACTACATGGGCAGTTTATTATTCTGCCAGTCCCTCCTTTGCTATCTGTGACTTGGGCAACATGGCTAGAGCACTTGAGTGAAGAATGAGGGGAAAAAAAAATCTTTGAGTACCTCAGCCTCCTCCATATCCCGTGTAACCATGACTCCTTCTGGACAGAGCCCATGTTTTGTTCCTCTTATCACCAGTGTATAGAAGCTTTTCTTAGTGCCCTCAATGTCCTTGATCAGATGCAATTGTTTTCCTAATCTAATCCTAACTTTCCTAACCTGATACCTGCCTGCGTGGACAAATCCTCTGCATTCCTCACAGGCATGCTTCCACCTCTGTAGGCTTCCTTTTTGTGTTTGAATTTGTCCAGGAGCTCTTAGTTCATCCATCTGTCCACCAGGGCTCCTGGTATTTTTGCTTCCTCTCTGTTGAGATGCATAGCTCCTGAGCTTGGAGGAAATGATCTTTGAATATTAACCAGCTTTCTTGGGGCCCCTCTTCCTTCCATGGTTTTATCCTATGTACTCTACAACACAGGTCCCCAAAGAGGCTCAAGTCTGTCAAAGTGAGCTTGCAGTATACCTTTCTAAGGATTCTGAAGTCCATTATTTATGAGCTGTTTCAGCCTTTTTTTAAAATCTGATTACTAATAACTGTGTGAAATAGAATTGTGTAAAGTAACATGATGTTCTTGACACTTATTTCTAGAACTGCCTATGTTCTTCAGTTCCAAAGATAAAGTATTAGCCTGAGTAGCTCTGATGTGGTCTAGCAAATTCTGCAGTGCCACTTAACATTTATTGCTTTTCTAAACACAAATAAGTAAATGATATAAAACATCCAATGACACTTCATCATTTGTTAGAAATATTATTGCTAAGTTTCACGTGTTTATGAAACTTCAGACAGAAGTGTGAATTGACTCATAGTCCTTTCTGATCTCTTCAGCAAGGTGATACTGTGTCAGATGTTAGAACTTTAGCAAATGCTACGACGGTGGACAACATTAGGTCCATCTTTGGAAATGCTGTTAGCAGGTATGTTGATGTCATGTACTAGAACACTTCATGTCCAAATGAAACATCTCCCTCTTTCTTCTCTTTTAAAGAACACAGGCTGTGCTAACTCTTCCTTTTCTTCCTTTAAAGTGAATTACAGAGAGTGACGATTGCAGTAATTTAAAAAAACCCAAAAACTTCCCTGTTTTGCAGGCTTTTTAAAAATTTATTTTAAACTGTATGAAATGAAAAAGGAAGTTGTAGTTACTCCTTCACTAGAAGGGAACAATCTGCTTGTAATTTTTATGTGCTAAACCAAAAAGACCAAGCTGTACCTGTTTTCTCTACAAGTTTCTATCCTTTTCTTACACCTTACCTCTTCATACTTCAGTTTGCTATTTGATAGATTTCAGTCCTTAATTATTTTTTTTTCTGAAGTCTTATGTATTAAAATTTTGACAAAAGCTTCATTGGCTGAGGCTAGGTAAACCAGCCAGAAAAGCTGAAAACAAAACCACTCCTCTATTTGCTGCTTAAGGTAAAATTCTATCTTCATTTAGCTGAGAAAAATTGATAGCACACATCTGGGGAATGCATTTCAGATCTCCCTAGGCATCAGTTTGATTCAATTACTAAAACCACAGTATACATGTAAGGAATTAGATGTCTAACACATGAAAACACCTTTAGGTTCAGTATTTATTTACCATGTACTAGTTTTTCTCTACTTCCAATGCTTGTTTGATGCAGCTTTTCCTTTCCACTACCCTGAAGAAGGTGCAGAAAGAAAACAAAAAGAGAAAGGAAATGCCAGCTGCATTTTCTTATTTGTGAGGTTAAATAATTTTATAGCTCAGCAAAGAATGTTTGAAGTCTCAAATAATTCAAATGTTATCCTTAACCATGACATAACTACAATATAGAACAGTATGTTGCTACTTGTGAGGGCTGTTTGAAATTTGCATTAATGGAAGAATACATTTTGTGTGTGTGTGTGTGTGTGTTTCTGTCAAACTGTCAATAGGGAACTCATAGAAGTGGGCTGTGAAGATGCAAATCTGGCCTTCAAAATGAAAGGCTACATCACGAATGCCAACTACTCTGTGAAGAAATGTATATTTTTACTCTTCATAAACCGTAAGTTAAAAAAAATAAAAAGCAACTTGTTGTACAGTCATGCTGCTTACGTAATAATCAGTAGAGCACAGCTTCCTGACAAATTGCAAAAACCTGAGTATGAACATTTTTCAAAGATGTCAAAGAATTAATATTAACTGTAGATCTTAAGGTGTTTTGCAATTCTTAATGTGGGTCATGCTTTGCACTGAAAGTACTAGAGAGCAGCTCACACTATAGTAACTGAAGCTTGTAGAAAATCAAGGTTATGCATGCCATTTGAAGATGCAAAACTTGAAGAATTGGTTTGAAGGATTAGCTAGGCACCATCTAATCTATTTCAGTGGCATTCTTTGATAATAGCATTTGGTTCTGTTTCAGATCGGCTGGTAGAGTCAACTGCTCTGCGGAAAGCCATAGAGACTGTGTATGCTGCTTATTTGCCAAAAAGTACTCATCCATTCCTATATTTAAGGTAAAGTAATAGGAAGAAGTAGTCTGACAATACTGCAGCACACTTGAAATCTTGGGACAATGACCAAGAATCACTGAAGCTATAGGAGAAGGCAACAGGGAAACTCAAGGAAAATACTTCAAAGGAATTAAGGAGTTCTCCTCCAACAAGGTGACAAGGCTGGTTGCCCAGCTGAAGTGCCTCAACATCAATGCACACAGCTTGGGAAAAGCAGGAGGAGTCGGAAGTCACTGTGGTACGAGAAAACTGTGATGTACTTGCTGTTACTGAAACCTGGTGGGATGATTCCTGTGACTAGAATGTGGCTATTGGCAGCTATGAGCTGTTCAGAAGGGACAGATGAGAAAGGAGGGCAAGAACGATTACCCTCTACATCAAGAAAGGAATAAAGTGAGAAGAGCTGTCCCTGAAGAATGGCCATGAGCCAGTCAAAAGCCTATGGGTGAGAGTTGAGACTGAGGCAACAACGGGAGCCCTGTGGCTGATGTCTACTACAGGCTGCCTGATCAAGCAGAGCCTGCTGATGAAACCTTCTTCCTCCAGCTACAGGAGGCACCATGATCACAAGCTCTTGTCCTGCTGTGGGACTCAACCACCCTGACATCTGCTGGAGAAGTAGCATGGCAAGCTGTAGGCAATTCAGGAGGCTTCTGGAATGCATCAAGGTTAACTTCTTAAGCCAAGTAATAGAAAGCCCCACTAGGAGAATGCAGTACTGGACCTGTTTTTCACTAATACAAATGAACTGACTGGTGACCTCAGGATATAAACTATATGTCTAAAAACATTTTAGTAGTCCAGCGGAGAGATTGATTTAAGGTTATTTAAAACCTTAAATATTTAAGGTTATATTATATCTCAGCAAGCTGACTTGGCTGAGATCAGAATAGAGTTTTAATACACCAAACAAAACTGACTGTAGTGTAACTTGAAGTTTCAGGATCATTATGGTTTCTTTCCCTGGGGTGATTGGTGCCTGGTTTGATAGATTTTATACTGAACCAATCTGTACCCTCTCTGCCATCCATGGGTAACTTTATGTTAACTTCTTTTAAAATGTTTTCCAGCCTGGAAATAGCCCCTAAAAATGTAGATGTGAATGTGCACCCTACAAAACATGAGGTCCACTTCCTTCATGAAGACAGCATTCTAGAGCGTGTGCAACAACATGTAGAGAGCAAGCTGTTGGGTTCTAATTCTTCAAGGATGTACTTTACTCAGGTGAGGATACATGTTTCAGACAATGACAGCCCTGTACAAAGTACTTTAACAGTAGTGGATGTATTATTTGCTTTCTTCAAAAGCACAAGCTAGGCTGGTCATCAGCGTTATACTGGTAGCTTGAGATCTTTAATGTTTCGGGGATGAAATTGCCTTAATATACCAATGATAATAATGTGGCAGTGAACTTACTGGATAAGAAGTGCATGAAAATATCTTGAACAGATACTTAACAAAGTTATTTCATCTTTTTCATTTTGCAAGTATATTACTCTCCAAACTTGGTCAGCTTTTGTTCTGCCCTTTTCACAAGAAACATGAGACTGAGGAAACTGTGTGTTTGATGACACTGAATTTAACCCAACTGGAAAAATAGCAGGAAAAATGTCCTAATCTCTTTTTAAATAGAGGATAGTATAAAAATTATAACTGTGATCTTTTTCAAAAAAGTTTTCACTGTGCTTTTTTTACATTAAAGATTTTGCATTTCAGACAAGGGAATGCTAACTGATGATTTCTGTAGTTGCCATGATGACATTCATGTTATGTGAATAGCAAGTACAAGGCTGGTGGTTGTCTAAGCAGTTGAGATGGTTTCTGTGGGGTTTGGAAGTTACTTGCTTTCAAGAAGATGCTGTGAGAAACATAAAAGATCTTTGTGTTGTCTGTGTGCTCTTGCTTACGATTGATCTCTCTTCTTTCTCGATATCATAATGAAGACATTGCTTCCAGGGGCCGAATGTTCCTCCAGTGAGGTGGTAAAATCAGCAGCAAGCTCTTCTACAGCTACAAAAGGAACCAGTGATAAAGTTTACGCGCACCAAATGGTCCGCACTGATTCCCGAGAGCAGAAGTTGGATGCTTTTCTTCAGCCAGTGAACAACCCCCTGAGTACAGGCCCAACTGAGGAGACAACAGGGGTTAATGTGGGACCTCCGGAGGGCACATCAGGAAGCCAGCAGGACTGTCCTGTTAGGCCACAGGATGCTGAAATGGAAGATGTGAGTGAGCTTCTTGAAACAACTGATTTAATTGAAATGGCTGATGTTCAGCAGGATGCAGTGATGCCTGGAGGGCTGAGTAAGAGCGGACACTTGTCTCCTGAGAAAGCACTTCCTCGGTAAGTCTCATCTTTCCTGAGGTCCTACCTGTTCATTTCATGGCATCAGCCTGAATTCGAAGGTTTTTCTCATTTCTTTGGACTTCTGCTTTCAGAAGAATGTTTTGGCTTTTTCTCTAGAGTAACTTCTTACAGTCTTTTAATGAGAAATCCAATTTCATATGTGAACTGTAAATTACATAAACCTGTTCCAGTTTTCACAAGTTTCTGTGCATGCTGCAAGGCAGGAAACAGTATAAATAATGATACTGACTTTACTTCAGAGATCATATCAGTCTGCCTCACTTCACGGGTTCACCCTTTTGTGGTATGACAGAAAAATAGCAACTACATCAGAGCATTTTGCAGCTGTTACCCTAGTAAAGATAAAAACACTGTAGTGTTTTACAGCTCCCTTGGGGGCTGTTCTGAGAGGCCAGAATCTTCTGAGGGAATTTGGTTAGTTTTTTCCCTACTATTGCAGAGGAATTAGAGTGGAAAAGGTAATCAGCAATAATTATCCTTTTTCTAATGAATTATGGCTAGGAAGAAAAGTAAAACAGTATTTCTTTCTGGGAAATTGAGGAAACTTCCTGCTTTGCTTTATAATGTAGACTGTGTGAATTCAGCATCCCATCTGTTTGACTGTGCTTTGCTTAAGTGATAGAAAAGTAGGACATCTTTCCTCTTTGTTTCTGTATTGCAGAAAGAGACCAAGGGAAGACACAGACATACAAATGGAAGAAGACACCAGGAAGGAAATGACTGCTGCCTGCACCCCTAAAAGAAGAATTATCAATTTGACCAGCGTGCTGACTCTTCAGGAGGAAATTAGCAGCCAGGCACATGAAAGTAAGCGAATGTTTTGTTTTTCAGGTTTGTTGTACCAGATAAAGATGGTTGTTTGGACTACTAAGGGGGAAAAAGTTAAAAAGGTGTCCCAGATTCTTTAGAACATTTTAAATAGGTTGTAAATCTCAAATTGCATCATAACTAATGCCATAAAATCACAGCTTGAAAAACTGAGTTAATTAGTAATTTTCAAGCAAATCTAAGTTACAATATTATTATAAGAAAATTGGCTTAGTTGCATGACTTCAAAATAGATTCAGAAGGAGAACATAATAATGGGACAGGCTTGATAATTGTATTTTTTTTCTATTTGGATCTGTCCTATGTATATAAGGGGAGTTTACAAGATACTGGTGAAAGTTTGGAAAAAGATGAAAGGTTTGCTGTTCTTCCTAAGGTTGTCCCCTCTTTACTCCTTCAGTTCCTTTAAGAGTTGCATAATGACATTGAGTCACACAGTGCTGTATTATTCAGCCAGTCTAAATGTCGGGAATCTTTTCTGTGTTGTTTTGTTGTTGAAATTACTGTGATTTTTCTGCTAGCAAGAAAACTGGTGAGCAAGAAACAGCAAGAAATTACTGGTGAGCAGCTCTACAGCTAACATGGCAAAACTAGCAGACTTCTGAAATAAATAACTTGTTTTTAAAAAAATTCAAAAGATAAGGATTTTTAGTAAGCATGTACTGACACTACTTGTGCTCTAGAAGTTTTGCAGTAGGATGGTAATTCTGAGCTGGTAGTTTCATAGTTGACTGTCACAGTTTAAATACTGAAATCACATAGTTGTAGTCCTGTGCTGTAAAATTCTCCTTAAACTTTGTGGCAGAACTTGTGCAGCTGCTCAAGGTTGTCTTATCTCCACACATGTGAGAAATTCTTTTCCTGCAATATTACAGTATTCTGGAAAAAGTAACAGTAGGATTTGTTAGCGTAGGCTTTGCATTTTACATGTGATTTTGCTGTGATTGCAATGTTGTGCTTCTATAACCAAGTTTCTTCTGCAGGTTGTAGTGACGTTTGCAGAATGCCTAAAATGAACATGGAAACTGGACTTGTCATACTTATGTTTTTAAATACAAGAGAAGGCCAGAAACTTATTGAGGGGGAGAAGGAAGGGATTATAGACCTAACCTACTGCATTTCCAGAATGCAGTCTGACAGCATTAGATTTTGTTGCAACTTTGTTCTGCATCTAGAAAGATACTAGGAGACCAGTGTAGGGCCACAAAGATGATAAAGGGCCTGGAGCATCTCGTGTATGAGGAAAGGCTGAGTAACATGGGTCTGTTCAGCCTGGGGAAAGAAAGATGGGGGGGGATGGGATGGGGATCTGATTAACGTTTATAAATATCTATAGGAAGGTGGGAGGCAAATGGATGAGGCAGGCTCTTCTCAGTAGTGATAGGACAAGGAACAGTGGCCTAAAACTTGAACAGAGGAAGTTCCACACAAACATGTGGAAGAATTTTTTTACCATAAGGGTGATGGAACACTGGAACGGGTTTTTCAGAGATGCTGTCTAGTCTCCTTCCATGGAGACATTAAAGATACATCTGGACGCCTACATGTGCCACCTGTTGTAGGGAACCTGCTTAAGCAGTGGGTTGAGTTCAATGATCTCTTGATGTCCCTTCCAATCCCTTTCCTTCTGTGTGATCTGCTGTGTTGTTTTTTTGGTTTTGGTGTGTTGTTTTTTACTCCCCCTGCCTGTATTCCCTTACTAACCTCCTGTGGCTGAAACAACTTGAGAAAGTCAAAAGGAGAAACTCTTAAAAATTTGCATTTGCAGATTAACTCATAACCTTTCTCATTTATGCTTTAACATTGAGTATATGCATATGCAAATAATTAAGATTTCAAAATGAATTGTAGCATTGCAGACCTATATTAGAAGCTGTAGCATAGCAATGACCAAACAGTAACCAGACTTTAAAAGTCACAGATGACTCAGCTGAATAAATTCGGGCACACTTAGCACACAGGATATCATACTTTTTCTCTTATTGTTTTCTTCCTTTTCCTCTCTTCAAATTCAGGTCTTCAGGAGATGCTCCGTGATCACTCGTTTGTTGGCTGTGTCAGCCCTCAGTGGGCTCTGGTGCAGCATCGAACAAAACTGTATCTTCTCAATACAACTAAACTCAGGTAACAAAGCTGTTGTTTCCAACATGATCTATGCTTTTTCCCCTCTTAATTAGGATACCTTGGAGATGCACGATTGCGTTCACATAACAAATGTTTGTGTTTTAATTTAGCCAAGAACTCTTCTACCAGATACTTATTTATGACTTTGCAAACTTTGGCGTTCTAAGACTCTCTGTAAGTATACTTTACATTATATCATATGTAAGATTATTTACAGTAACCCTGTCCTTTCAAATAACATATGTTTATAGGTTCTTTTTTGTTCACTGTAGGAGTGATGTGCTGTTTCCTTTACAGTAATACAGAGTGGGAAACCTGTAATTTTGTAGCTGCAGCTGTAGATTGTGATCCTTGCTGCTCGTTGTGCTTCTGACTCTTCACCAGGCTTTGTAATTTGTACAATTACAAATAATTGTAACGTACTTTCTGTGCTGATCAGATATACTACTGAATGACAGCGCTTATCCCGTGACTATCACAACACTTTGCAGGATTGTGGACTTCATGGAGTTTTTTCACAAATAAATTCACACTTTTTAGACTAGTTGATGAGCTGATGTACTCTGCAGGCTAGAAGCTGTATATTTAGCTCACATTTCATGTGAAGGAAGAATGTCTTTTTTTTTTTTTTAAGGGTGGGAGCAGTGGACTGATGGTTAACAACATTTCTGCTGCTTCTACTTCTAGGAGCCAGCTCCTTTATATGAGCTTGCAATGCTTGCTTTAGAGGACCCAGAGAGTGGCTGGACAGAAGAAGATGGCCCAAAAGAAGGCCTTGCTGAGTACATAGTTGAGTTTCTGAAAAAGAAGACTGAAATGTTGAAAGATTATTTCTCTCTTGAAATTGATGAGGTGACTGCTGCTATTACTCTTCACACTAAATAATGCTATGTTTTGGCATCTGGTAATAGCAATAGTTTGCTTGCAGTGCTTACTATCAGCAAGAGCTAGCTCTGGTAAGACTTGGGTGGTTTACCCCTTTCATTAAAAATGCTCAGGACTTATGCTGCTTTTAAAGGAGGGCTATGCAAAGTTTAATTATATTAATTATCAAATAAAATGCTTGAGTCATTGTTTCAGTAACTAGCCTGTGGCTTTCTTGTCCAACAAGGTGTGCAACCTAACTTAAGCTGAGGATGAGCTACAGGATCTCCCTCGCTTCTGTTATTTGTGTGTGGCCTATGGCATCTTTTATTCTGTACAAAACTGAACAGCTTTAGCAAGTGTGTCATATAACCTTGACTTCTCACCTCGTATTCTCAGTGGAAATAGGATCAGCATAGTCAGTGGGTAGAGGAGGGAGCTCAGTTGAGGTCTCCCAGAGGTGAAAGCTCTTAACTGAGGCATTGTAAGTTAAACATCACCAACAACTCTTTTCCTGCAATGGCTACTTGGTATTGGGCTTCAAAAACTTGCAACTTCAGATATCCCCTAACACTCAGCAAGTTTAGCAAGGAGCAGCCTTAAAATAGATAACAGTTCCAGTGCATCCACTGCAAGAACAACCATATTTTTTACTGAAGCAGTAGCACTGCCTTTGCAGGAAGGAAACCTTACTGGATTACCACTTCTGATAGACAACTACATTCCCCTGCTGGAGGGACTACCGATGTTTGTCCTTCGGTTGGCCACTGAGGTATGTTTTTGTAAGTTAGTTATTATAAATGTCTTTTTTTAACTTAGGAAATAATGAAGTGAATCAAGTGAATTAATGATAAGCTGCAAAGGAGGGGCTGAAATAGATTAAATGCACTGTTACATACTCCAGGCACTCTTGCAATAGTTGCTGATTAATTGGACTTTGCCTCTACATTCACAACTACTAATTGAGTATGTTTTGATTTGAATTGCCTTCATTTTTACTCATTTCTGTTCAGTGCCTTCACCTTACCAGCACAAAAATGGCCAAAGCACTATTCTGTATTGTAGGGAACCTGCTTTAGCAGTGGGGTTCGACTCTATGATAACTAGAGTTCCCTTATAATTCTGTGCTTTTGTGATTTTTATTTTTCCCCCCCTTATCAGGAATTGTTACCAAGTCTCTGGCCAGTTATCCAGATTTTATTAAATTACTTCTTTCTTCTAACAGGTAAACTGGGATGAAGAGAAGGAGTGCTTTGAAAGCCTAAGTAAAGAACTGTCTATGTTCTACTCCATTAGAAAACAATATATAATAGATGAAACCAACCTGACAAGCTCTCAGGTACCATAATATGTTACTACTTATGTAACAAGCATTAACAAGACAAACTCTATTTTTTTTCTCCCCCAAACTACAGACAAAATGCAGTATACTTCATGTATACACTTAGCCTCAGGTTGGAAAGTGTTTTTTTAACCTGTTAAGCTACAGTAAGCTTCTAGAGGTGGATGCATATAAACCTAAAATGTAGTTTGCTTATGTGTAAGTATCTGTTTAATCATTCAGTTAAGCTAGCCAGTTCAAGTGACACCACTCAAATGGATTTTTCAGAGCTTAAAATTAACTTTGCAGTACAGAATGTACTTGATTACTAGCAGAATTTGAGTCTCAGTAGTCTGACAAAGTTGAAGTGCTCTCTGTTAGTGAAATAACTTCAATTTGTTTATCCTTTCTGTTCCATGTTTCAGAATGAGGATTCTGACTCTGGTTCACCACCATGGAAATGGACAGTGGAGCATGTAGTTTACAAAGCCTTCAGGACTTATCTTTTACCTCCTAAACACTTCACAGATGATGGCAACATTTTGCAGCTTGCTAACCTGCCTGACCTGTATAAAGTTTTTGAGAGATGCTAAGCAAGAAATTATTTGTATAGATTTGTGCATATGTAAAAAAACTTGTTACATTCTGTTATATTTAGATAAAGTAGGGGAGGTGGTGGGAAGGGAAGAGAGGATTTAATGACAGCAAATAGATGTTATATTTTTTCTTCAGTTTAACAGAGAATAAAAAGAATCGATTATGTTCCTAAAATAAAAAATAAGATTTCATCTATGGACTGTGCATCAAGTTTCCTTGAGAAGAGAAGCTAACTTGAGCTGAAGCTAACTGAAGTGCAGGTGCTTTTACATGGCTTGAGCCCCGAAGGCAAGATTATCAACTTCCTTCCTTTTGTTTTGATGATGCAGGTACTGTCAAACAACAGTCTTTCATGAACATCAACTTAAAGCACATGCAGTAACTTTTTAGTACAGGACTAGCTGATGTGGTATTTCAGAACTCTTCAAATAAGGGGGATCACTTGCCTTTATCGAGGAGTCTGGAAGTGGAAACAGGAATTTGGTGCAAGGTAGCAAGTAAGTTTGCAAACATTAAATCTGCTTCAAAGAAGAGCTGCACTTGATAATCTTGAGTGCAGGCTCAAGAATGAGGGAAGACCATTAGTTCTGCTCAGGCAGAAAAAAGCCTTGTCTTGAGATCTTCCCAACTCTGAATGGGTGCAAGGATGTCTTTGGTCCTTGACCAGCTTCAACTGTGTGCTTTAAAAAAAACAAACAGCAGTGCTAAGGCTCTGGAATAGAAAAGTCCTACAACATCCTTGCTGTGATAAATGCTCTCGAAGTGCACTGTGATTCCACTTGGTATACTGCCATTGCTATAGCATGCTTGTCTTGTGATTTCACAGAATGGCCCAGGTTGGAAGGGACCTCAAGGTCAGGAGGCATAGTAGGGATGGGCGAATGGTTCAACTACATGATCTTAGACATCTTTTCCAACCTTAATTCGACCTGTGATTCTATGAAATACGCTGGCTTAGGAAATGCTTGCAAATCTTTACCCTGAGTTTGCTATATCATTATTTATGTTTGGTATAAAATACATTTCTCTCCCCCCTCAAGGATTTCCTGCCATTACTCCATCTGTCTTGTTTTTCTTTACAGCTGCTGTTTTAACTCATCCTCCTTTTCTAGTTTTTCCCCCAAGTATTAAACTGCAAGAGGAAGCTGGCACTGAGAATAAGTTTACAGTTCTTGTAGTTCAAGAGGAATTCCATACTGCAGATTGAGAGAGGTGTTAAAGAAAAAGAGTGATGCACTTTGATGAAACTTATAAGTAATAAAGGAATTGCTCACCTCCTGGCCTAGATAAATTTTTCTCGTTAAATTTAATATTTGATCAGAAATACCCCAACTTTTGTTCTTCTAGTGATTTATTCTTACCTGCATCCTCTGAAACAGATCTTGAATATTCTGAAGGATAAAAAGATATGTTAGGATCTACTCAATAGTGACACTGGAGAACTTCAGCAGCAGCACACTGAAGCCAAAGCACCTTTTCACTGCCTTAGTGTACAGTGATCTTCCACATGAAGGATGATGGGATGCCTCATCTTTAGCCATACACATTTACAGAACTACTACTGGAGCAAAAAGGCGGGTTATGCTTTAAGTTGCCATCAAGCTTTAACAATAAAACAAAATAAAATAGGTGTGAAGGAATCTTCAAATAACCTTAAATGTAGCTCTCGCATACAGCAACACTTCATCTCTCTGCTTTTCCTTTGTAATGCCCCCAGTGTTCATTATACGTGGTCCACTCTCCCCAGCAGATCCCTGTCTTTTTTGTGTGTGCTGTGGAGCCCAGAACTGGACACAGTACTCCAGCTGAGGCCTGACCAGGATAGAGTAGAGGGGGAAGATACCTCCCTTGAACTGCAGGCCACAGTCCTTTTAATGCACCCCAATATCCCATTTGCCCTTTTGGCCACCAGGGCACAGTGCTGGCTCATGGCCAACCTGTCCTCCACTAGGACTCCCAGGTCCTTTTCTACAGAGCTCCTCTCCAGCAGGTCATCCCCCAATCCATACTGATACATGAGCACCCAGACCACCCGCAACACCTCATAACTTAAGCTGTAAACAGACCAAAAACCTTTGCAACCAAACAGCCCTAAAGGGCAGCTCGTAATTCACATATTTGATGACAGAGAGTTTGAAAGCTGTAGTGACTCACAAGCCCATTTTCAGCTTACTGGATCCCCCTTCTTCAGTCTCAAAAATAATCAACACACATTTTAATGACTTGTGGATTCACTTTAGCATTGGCCTTTTAGTGGAAAAAAATCAGTAAATTAAAACAGTCAATACCGGTGCAAGGAAAAACTTAACAGAACAGTTAGACAACAGCTCATTTTGTGTTCTACCCTATGCTTCTGTTTCACAGCAACAGAAATATTGCAAAGCAATGGAGTTTGTACACCCAAGTAAACACGTGAAGAATACAGTGGTACTTATCATGTGCTGTGCAGGTTGCTAGTATTAAAAACAAATGGCTTTGTAAGGAAACTGACAACACTTACATTCTCCTTTAGGTAGGAATCAAGTGTCACCAAAGCTTTTTTTGAAGCATTGGTTACTTAAGATCTTAGGTGAATACTTAAGATCTGTAGGTGAAAAACAAACCACATCTTATACCTATATCCAACAACTGATGAAAGCTTCTCTTTACTACAGCAATAATACCACTGTTTGCAAATGCTCACTTTCTCCACTTTGCTCCTTGAACCTGAATAACATCCAACACCAGCACAGAAATGGAAACTAAATTATTTCAAAAACCTTTTTGCATCCTTCTGATATCACATACACAACAGTGAAATCAATGGTGTTCTGCTAGTACTGACACTGCATCTCTACAGGTATTCAACCAGAGTAAGACATTCTGCACAAAATCAATGTAAACCAGAATCCTCATAACCCTACTAGAAACAAAAGAATGCTACATGCTGATTTTTCATCTGACAAAGCAACAAAGTATCACAGTGCATTAACCACGTTTTAACATTTTTATTTTAGAAAGTGAACATATCCATTAAAAAAAAGAAAATGCACGGAGTTAAAAAAAAAAAAAGTAAACATAAAACTAATGACAAAACTGCAAAAACATAAAATAATTTTACCTAGTGAGTCCCAACCATTAAATATACTTCCACCACAGAGAAGTTTTACTTCATTATATTACCAGTCTCTTGATTAGGTACACAAAGACAACACTTGCCAGTAATTACCTAGTCATTAGAAGATCAACTTCAGGAATCACTGAATAATACATCATGGACAAGTATTTTCATGCCACTCAGGAGGCAATCTAATATACATATGTCACAAGGTACATCTTTGTGAGGTATTACAGTACATGGGAACCATTCCCTTTGCTTTCTAAGGAATAAATTCTCCAGTCAGCAGCTCCACCAGCAACTCAATCACAGACTGTTGCCAGAGTTTCCAAATCCCCACCAACTTCCCTCAGAGATTTTCCTTCTGTAACAGATTACACAAGTTAAGATGAAAATGATCAAAACAATAGATACAGAAAACAGGAAGGCTCAGAAGAAACAGTCACCCGCTATTTCAGACAGGCAACAGACAGTCTCAAGTCAGAAGCTTCAACTGCTCCAGAACATTTAATACATTCTCTAGCTCATGCTTTGCCATTTGTGGTAAAAATGAAAGCATGTGGTGAGATAACTCTGAAAGTAATTAAGTAATTTCTAAAATACGAACCTATTTAAACAAAGCACACCTCAAAAATCTTAAAACACAGCTTGCATAACGCAACCCACTTGTGGTATTAAACAGACTGTAAAGGGGAAATACTGAAGCAGTTTTGTCCATACAATCTTTCAGAGTCATGGATATGTTCTGGACTCAAACTGGAAGAAAATCTCTTCCTAGTACTTCTGCATCCTCATCTCCATAGACATTTCCCTCCTCCTTTACTTTTCCACTTTTGGTCCACCACTTTCCTTCCAAGAAGCCAGAGAAGAAACGGTAGAGGAGCTTGATCCCAAGTTTGCAGCCTTTTACACTCAGCACTGGAAGAGGGGCCTCAGACTCCTGTGTTTGAGTTAACCAGAACTCAGGGGCAGAGGAGCCTAACAACTGGCTCTCAAGAATATGAGAGGATTCCTTGCTTGAGCTTTGTCAAGACTGCAAGATGAGCTCCTAAGAATCAGCCCAACCATTCAAATAATTTGAGAAGGAGCTAAGAAGAAATGATTATTTAAGATTATTCTGGTGACAGGCAGAGGAACTTACCTGTTTTCCATATTTGCTATACAACTGGTTTTTCACTGTCTTGTTTTTCTTCAGAGTCTTCATCAGATCCTGAACAAGAAGAGAGGAATGTCATCAATTCAGTTGAGAAAATAAGTACTACTAATAACTCATCATGCCAAGGAATAAATGTTGGCTCCATTTTACTTCCTTTTATATTATATTCTACTATATTCTGCTGTCAGTAGACTATTTCTACCCATAAGCCTCAAGATAGACTTCACATCTTTAACTAAAATACTTTTTCAGTGTTAATCATTAGTCATTATTTTTAAGGCACATTACTCCCAGAGGTCATGCTACCATATAAAATTCTAACACTTTCCACGTGGATAAGACTTCAAATTTATGTTGAATCAGAATCACAGAAAAGTTTCTTGACAGTATGCTGGTATAGCACACCATTACACTAAAGATTGTTTTAATGCATTGTCATCCCTAGATGGAGCTCTAAGTCACCTATTATATCAAGGCACTCAGCAATCACAAAGGCAGCCACTAAATGAGAAGAGTCACCAACATTAATTTTTCTACAATGCAAGATGGGCAAAAGCATCTGCAGCTATATGTGGATATTATTATTTTAAATACATTGCACAGTAAAGCAGAGCTTTACAAAAGAGATTTCTCTTTTAGGGTAAGAAGATTGACATGGGATCTTGGGTTCACAGTAGTTCAACCCACTTAACTGAAAGAAAGTACTAATTTCCTTGAAATGTCTGCAAACACATCTTTGGTATTGCAGTATTCCCATTTATTGTTGGCTTACTCACCTCACAGCTCAACTGGAACAAAGAGCACAGTACACAGACTCAAGGTATAATTAACGCTTGCTTTCAGTTCAACACGCTCAGCATTTCACACAGGAAGCTTTTTATTATGAGAAAGGAGCCTCCAACTGAAACTTCAGTTGGTCTTTTGAGCAGTTTCAAATTCACTGCCTCCCCTAAAATACTGTAAAGCTTCAAGTTCAGACTGGATTAAATAATGTAATGCTGAATAAATACTCTGTCTGCTAGCAGACAGAGAGGGCAAAAAAACAGTAGCCACCTCCATTCAGTTGCTGCCCCATTTTCTTTGAGACTATCTTTTTTCTAACACCTCTGGGACAAGTCAGAAGACTCACTAACTATCTGTATTGCAATTCATCTGATAGATCTTGAATAAAATGAATTGCTGAATAAAATAATCTTTTATTTCAGGATTATGAAATACAGTCTCCATTCATCCTCCACTCCCTTACATTATGAAGAGGAAGAAATATGCAGAAGTTTAATGCCAGTAAGAAAAATCTTCACAAATGCTAACATAATTACCTGCTACAGATTCAGGAGGGGAATAGAACTGGCCATCAGACAGGACTCCTGGGTGAAGGAGAGCTGCTCGTTCGGAAGCATCCTGTGCTATCAAAAATCCTAACAGGAAAAAAAAAATTCAGACATCATCTCACAGCTTATATCTTAAATACCGAGATCAAGCACCTTGAAGACTGAGGTACTGTATTAGCATTAAAAAACTGTTGATTTAATGTGCAGTTTCTGTAATTACAGGCAACTAATGCAGCAAGAGAGAGTACTGTACACAAGTTAAGGAATCCTTCCTTCCACTCCATGAAAAGGCATGGTTAGGATGCCATATGTGAACTTAGCAGTATCCACCATCTAACTAAAACTCTGAAACATGTATTTTCAATGCCCAGTGAACTGCCATGCACGATCAAATAAATCAAAGCTCCTTATTCACAGCTTGCTTTCACTCATTTGTCTCAACACACCTTGTAAATCCTACTCCTTTTGGCTCAATCACTAAAATCACGAAAATGCAATAGATAATGGGGCTATTCTGGTGTACATACATACAGGACAAATCTAAAGGGGGCTGGGAAAGAAGAGAATTCATCTTGTTCTTACTGCCATCAGCAGGTCTTCTGATAAGTAACAGGGCAAAGACAGCATTTTGGGTCATCTACTGAACTTGTCGCCTCCACTCTCAGCCATATTAAAACTGATGGGGAACAAATGCTTGATGCTTAACTGAATCAGGAGAGTTACCTGGGATAACCAGCAACTCCATTGGGAGGGGGAAAAAAAAAATCCCTCTTTCTAACATAAGCACAGCAATTTATCTTATTACCCAGTTTAAGTCTCCAAAGGAGACATTTTTTTTTTTTACGAGTGCTGCTCTGAAAGTAATGACTCCCATTTTATTATGTTAGTCCACATTGTCAGAGGCAGATGGTGGTACAGCAGGAGAGGTTGAAGCTTCCCACCAATATTCCATTACATTCTGTTGCTGTGTGATAGTATGACCAAATGGTATCTGACATGGAAGTGTGTCTGAAGCAAAGGTGTGTCACTGAATTCCTCTATGAATTAAAAGTGGCACCCGCTGACATTCACTGACACTTGCTTAACATTTATGGAGACTAAATAGTGGATGTGAGCACAGTGGCAGGGCAAAGGGCAGTGGGTGGTGCATTTCAGCAGTAGTAATAGCACTGTGAAAGTCAAGCCACGTTCCAGATAGCCACATACAGCTGTCACACCATGAAACAAACAACATCCTGATCAGCTCATTGGTTTGAATTGACAGATTAAGAACAAGGAACTGTGTACAGAACTGAACATCTGCTTCAATGCAATGGAAACAATGGTGGCAATGTTGGAATATCAGAAAGCTTAAGCCAGGTGAGTCCCACAGATGCTCAGAGTTTGTCAGGATATACTGAACCAATATGAAGCTGAAGGTGACAGTTTCCTGCATTGCATCATTACTGGTGACAAGATGTGGTGTCACCACTATGTGCCAAAGTTAAAACAGCAGTCCGTGGAGTGGTGACAAGAGAATTCCCCATAGAAGAAAAAGTTCAAGATGCAGCCCTCAGCAGGTAAAGTGATGTGCACTTTCCTTTTGGGATAGGAAAGAGGTGATCTCTCTGGATTTCCTGGAACCCAGACAAACCATCAACTCTGACTGCTACATCATGACACTGACTCAGCTGAAGGCTTGAACTTCCAGTCAGGCCAGAGAAGAAAACAACTTTTCTCTTGCAACATGATAACACCAGGCCCCATGACAATTTGAAAGTCACTGAGCGCACTGTCAATCCTGCCTGCACTGTCCTACCATACCTGCTGAATAGTCTGGACTTGGCACCTTCTGACTTTCATCTGTTCAATCAGTGGGCAATATTTTCCTAGCAATGGTACTGTCAGCAGCTGTGAAACAGTGGTTCTCCTCCACTGGTGCAGATTTTTTGTAAGCGTGGTGTGCAAGCTCTTGTTCACTGCTGTTGAAAACGTGTAGCTAACAGTGGTGACTGCTGAAAAACAATGGTTTGTAGCTGAGAGTTCCCTCTATCAAATAGTGTTACTTTGCTCTTTGAATCTGTTCTAGTTTCCACAAAAATAAATAGCAGGCATAACTTTCAGAACTACCTATGTGCTTATATTTCCACTCTGTCCAAAAGAGGAAAGATAACATCAGGTCAGAAATAATGGAAGATATTCTGAGTGGGTTTTAGCTTTACATCCTCCTCAAAAAAGGAAACTTTTAAAACTGGAAGTCTCTATTAATGGAAAGAAGAAAGAGAAGTAAAGGGATTGATGTAGAAAGATTGCTTCAAATCACTAAGGAATGAAGGCATCCACGCCCATGTAAACTTTTTGGTTTACCCAACAGGAAAACATACCCTTCCAGTTGTGTTTCAGACTATTTCACGTGGTGATACACAAATAACAGATAAGCTATACAATTAGTCGCCTGCTGTTGAAGCTAACAAATCATCTGTAACAGAAAACTGTGCTTTCTTCTCCTCATCACTCAGGAAAGCCTCTCTTTCAACTAAATCAGTGGGTTTCATCCATTTAGTTGAATACATTACTTGACAGATGACCTGCTGCCTTATCCTGAATTCATACTTGCTCTGGTCTCCTTCTATGCATGAAGCAGATTCTCCAGAACAGTTTCTTTGCTTTTCCTTTTCCACCTCAAAAGACAGTCAGCATGAGAGTTAGTTATTGTGTCTACTCTTCCTAGTTGAAAAGCCAGCAACTTATTCCATGCATTACCAAGGAGATAATATGTTATATGCCCAAGTCAGTTAAATTTTCGAGCCTTAAGCATGCAAAATTAAATATGCTCTTCAGTGCCTGACAAATACTGGCCTGGCCCTTGCAACTTTTAACTTTGCGTGACTAAATAAAAATCCCACTTCACTGAAGACATATTTCCTTCTAGAAAAATTATGCCACATCATTAAGTTTTTTAAACAACTCAATGTTTTTTAGAAGCTGGAAGATGCATTCTTCTGCCATTCTTCTGACAATATGAGACCAAACACTGCCAACTTCAGTGACTGAGGGAGACACAATAGGAACTTACTGTTTTCTTCTTCAGCTTCTTGTGGTAACACCTTGAAGTCCAAGAACCAGGTTTCAATCCAGGCAAGTATAAATGATATGATGGGCAGCACGTAGCCAAAAGCACCCTGTGAGAACAGCTAGAAGAAAAAAAATATATACAACATTATAGAAATTTACCTGAAGAGTCCTGCTTTAAAAGCAAACAAACGACCAACCCTGAGTAAAGCAAACGTGATTAGAATATATATACCTGTGAAATAATTACTTTTGCTAGTAAAAAGGCACTGGTCACCGCTGTTGTAAACTGAAAGAAAGAATAAGAACAGTTAAGACTGATAATTGTATTTACTTTTTCATCGCTGCCATTATCTGACATTTTCAATTTGAAATATTTATCAACAGAAACATCACAGATTAATAAATCTTATCAAGTGTTATTAAAATAACTTTGTTATTTTAGCCTTTTTAATACAAACAGCTCCAAATGTTGATTTTCATGCAGCTGATAGGCAGTTCAGGGACTAAACAGATGATAACACTGTATAAATTGTGATCTTATTCTACAAAGAAGATGCAGTATTTTCACTAACTCTCTTAGATAAAAAAAACAGACTGTAAATCTAATTGGGAAAAAGCAAACAATTGCTTGAAATGCTTTTCACTGCCAAACAATTGCTTGAAATGCTTTTCACTGCCATCTAAATCAAAATTTTCATTTCAAATAACAAAATATCTTTGCACGAGGAAACTTGAACTAATAGTTAAATTCCCATGTTCCTATTATGAAAATTAATCACTTGACATGGTTTAAAAATAGGAGGTGACAAACAAGTACCTAAAAAAAAAAAACCCAAACCAAAACAGAAGAACAGTGGACAAGTGCTATTCACTTCAACAAGGCTTCTAACTGTGTGTGTTTAGTCCAGCAACTCTTTAAATAACAGCAGGATCAAACTACCATCTGGTAAGCACAAGTAGAATGACCAACAGCTTCTTCAAAGCATTCAGTGAAGCTTTATAGATCTATTGCTTACCACCACGATGGGTTTGTTCTCACAACCTCAAAACCAACTGTTCAAGTTGGAGGATGTCAGTGGAAGAAATACCCCAAAAGTTACATTTCTGAGAGAAAGGGATTCTGAGATGTGTGCACTTAGAAATAATTTAAAAAAAATCACAGAGCAGCAGTTGTTATTACGTATGTACTCATATCACACTAATAACATGATTTCAAGAATATCATGATGTAATCTTAGACTGAAGAAACTGTATGCTACTCCCTTGAAGAAAGTCATATGTGCACATATGCATTTACCACAGCATGAAGTGAAAAACATCCAAGATTGACAACGTACTGAGCCAGTAATATATGCATCATGTTATATGCCACAGTATTAACTGGAAGTACGAGTTCATCATATTTTTCTCATTCACACACAGTACAACTGCACTAAAGATACTTGTTTCAATTCACCAAAAATATGTATATAATTGACTATATGTAGATAATTTTAAAAAACCTACAGTTGTCAAGAGCCTCCTTTTTAAGAAGGGACGCATAATCAATATTCTGTATTGGAGCAAGGAGCAGTACATGTGCTGATGCTCATGGTTGGTATATAAAATTCTAGGAACTAAAAATGTGTGAATGAACAAACAAATGCCAATTATTTTTGAAATAAAATTCAATATTTCCAGTGCAAATATATTTCAAGCATTAATTAGTAAGTCAGATGTTACAAGTGGTTACAACTACCCATTCATATTGGATTCAAAGTTAGTTTCCAACTTTTATTAACATGATACCTAACAAGGATCACATACGCTATGCTATTAAATTCTTGTCTTCAGACTTTAAATCTTCCTAAGCATTTGACCTGAATTAATTTTCATATATACCATCAAGTTGATTCTTAACATACAAACATTAAGAGGCATCTAAAGATTTGCCTGTTTGATCCATTCTAGTTGGAAACTCCATTATGCTTGGCTACTACTCACAGCTATTGCCCACCAATGGCGCAGTCTGCACATTGCATATGCAAGTATTAACACCTTAAATCGAAAGACTGCCAGTAGCTATAGAGAAAGGAAAAAAATATTTGTTGGTTAATTCAGAACAAAGAAGAACCACAAGATTCTCAGCTCACTAAAAATACGAACTGCTTACAAAACAAAACAGGACAATCAGTTCTACTATTAAGAAACAAATCTGAAGGTGGGTTTGCTTTTAAAAACAATATCATTTTCCATTTTTAAAGCACAGACATGACTGTGTTGTTCACATGGCTACACAGACTCAAATTTACAAGTGTGAGCAACTGCACAAATACAAATTAGAAATATAAGCTACACAGAATATGTTTATAATCATTTTACCCAACTGGAACATAAGCAGTTAAATCTAGATGTAATTAATCCAGCAAACACCCTGAGCATCACTGTGCACCTTGTTGATCCTACTAGTGTGTTACTACTGTGCAACAGTATCATTAAAAACTGTAAAGACTTCAAAAATGCAACGGCATGATGTTTATTTAACTTCTTTAATATTGACTGAAATGTTTCAGCAATCAATCATTCATTATGAAGATGCCTGCAGAACCAAGCTACTCCAAATATTCTGCAGTAAAGATGGATGAGTTATGGGATTTCTAGGCTAGAAAATGAAATCAATAGCAGAAAGATGAGATTAGCGAATCAGGGAACCTAATCCTCAGTTTGCCTGCATATTTTGATACTAGATTCTTCTAACTTGCTTTAAAAGATGTGTTCAGAATTTTTAAAAAGTGAAAAAAAACACTCAAAAATGAAAAGGGATCTGAGACAGATATGTTTCAATATTGCACATTGCAAATACGTTTCAGCATGTATAGCAGAAACAGAAGAAATTCTGTGTAAGTCCACAACTCATTTTGCAGAATTCGATTAAGTTCTTTACAGAGAGAGTGGTGAGGTGCTGGAACAGCTGCCCAGAGAGGCTGTGGATGCCCCATCCCTGGAGGTGTTCAAGGCCAGGCTGGATGGGGCACTGGGCAGCCTGGTCTGATATTGAATGTGGAGGCTGGCAGCCCTGCATGTGGCAGAGGGGTTGGAGATTCATGATCCTTGAGGTCCCTTCCAACCCTGGCCATTCTGTGATGATCTAGTCCCTTCCCAGGGAATAAAAGTCAATTATCTGGGATTACAAGTATTTAATCCTTGGTTCAGCCACAGGGCAATTTCCAGAGAATCGACGTTTACAGATAAGTTTTTTTTTTTTCCCCCTTCTTTCTAAATAAGGTACATCACAGAAACCTGCCAGCAAAATAACAATGAGAGAAAAGGAGAAATATAGTTTGCTATCTTCTGACATTTCTGTATTCAGTATCTCATTCCATCTGACTTGGCAAAAGACCCAATGCAGAAACCAGAACAAGCTTCTGCATTGCAGCTTTAGAGCTACAGCCTCTCTGAAAGACAGGAAAGTTTCCTGAGGCAGAAGAGCCCTTTCTGTGCACTTCAGATGCTTATATACAGGAGAAATGCTCTTAATGTTATCTGCTTTTAGTACAGTGTTTAAAAACCCTGTTTGAGTTAAAATACAGAAATCTGAAAACACCTGACCTGCACAGGCCAACCTGTTAACAAGTTTCTCTCACTGCAAAAGACTTACTCTGGAAGGACAAAAATGTCAATTTAAAGAAAATGATGTTACAGAGGAGGAGCACTGGCCTTCACCTCTTAATAAAGTCTCTCTATGTTAGATTAGTCTCATTCCTGACTTTTTCACTTCTTCCTTCTCTCAAAACAGAAGATGCAATTTAAGTGTGCTAAAGCATCTCAATTGAAAAACTCCTTGAGAACCTGCTGCTTAAGGACTGGGCAACTCCTAGACAAGTGATATTTGGCACAAACTCCTCTGGTTTAAATTAGCAAGAAGAGACCAGCCCTGTCACAGGACTCAAACCAGGAAACATTTGAGGGAGGAGGAAACTGAAAAACTGTACTTTTGCTTCCTCCCTCCCTCCCCCCTCCCTTTTTTTTTTTTTTAAAGAATACTTACAAATATATCAAAATATGAAGAAGAATAGTCATAATGTAGAACTTCTTTCTTCAAGGTAGTCTCAATGCCTCCCTTTACCTACAAAGAAACAACAGGCATAGCTTGAGAACAGAAATTACTTCAGCCAAAAACACAGATGTAAAACATTAACTCAGCAATTCCTGATCGACATACACAAGGATGATTAAACTAATCAGAGGAGATACATGGTAAGAAATCAATTTCAAAATTATATTCAAGAAAAACAGATGAGAATGCCACACAATTTATCACTGTTAAGAACCCGTGCTATATAAGCTACATTTCAGACTGTCCTAAAATAAAAGCAAACAAGTAGAAGAAATTAGTAGAAGGTAGAAGAAATTAATTGCAAGGTCTCCTACACAAATTCATTAACTATTTTGTTTCAGAAGAATATAAACAGCTGATCAGAAAGCCATCCAGAAATCAGCTCTCATCAGCCACATGTTAGTAAACAGGTGATACTAAAAATCCCTTCTGATTCTTCAGCACTTGAATTCAATCAAATTCATATCATCCATACACTTATACTCCATATATATTTTCCTTAGCAATATATGTGCTACTTGTTTCCAGAAAAATGACCACAACCAAAAAAAATACTGTCAAAAGCACAGAAGCTGTGGTCATTAGTTATTTGTAGAATGGCCTAAAACAGGTTTAATTCCTTCATTTGTTTGAGGAGATTCAAAACTGCATCATCCTTAGCCACGTATCTTTCAGATGGAAGTGCTCATGATCTTTCTATTCAAAATGGGCTACTAAGAAAACAATTTAAGTTTCACTGGGCTAGAGACCAAGAGCAGCGTATCTTAGCAAGGAGTGAAGAACCCTTACGTCCATATTCCATTCCAAAGGCTATTTGTTTTTAACACTAAAGTAGATAAGTGAGCACTGTGTAACATAGTTATGTAAAGCACTGGAAAACAACAACAGAAAGCTTTGAGTTTGATTACCATCATGTTTTCAAAGCACTACAGCATCCCACAACACACGCTCACCATCTCAAAGCAGTACAGTGTAGCTACTTTCATATTCTTTGCTCAACTACTGCTGAATATTTTAGAACTTTTTTTTTTTTTTTTTTAAACTTTCTTCCTGCTGCTCTTCGCACCAACCCCAAGTTTGTTTATTCTTTCTTCTCTTCTCTCTCCCCCTCTGTAGATAGCTGAAAACTGCCTAAATATAGCTGTCCATTGCTTGTTGGTCTGCACCAAGTATGACCATTTAATTCCAGCATAAATAAGGAAGATTCTAGTGAGAGAGAAATTGTATGTATGTTGCTCATAAACCTTTGGAAAATATTTAGGAGGAAAGGGAAGAAACACACAAATTAATATACAGAACATTGCTGTATTGCACTTCAGGTCAATTTAAATAAGGGTTGGCTGGTCTTTTCTTTCTCTCCTCAACATGACATCTCAGCCCTCTCCTACAGGATAAAGAAACTAAAGAATAAGAACACAACACATCAGCATTAGCTGATGACTGAGTTCTGAGACAGTTCAGCAGCCTGTTCTGCATGCAGGAGCACCACGTTAACACAAGGATGAACAGAGAACCATGGAAGAATTGACTCAGAGTTCACTCAATCTACCAACAAAGCTACTCTCTGAAGTGTTTAAAAATAAGTTATGCTGAGTAACAAGTGACAATAGGAAAGTCATATTTACAGTAATTCTGGGAGTAATTCTGAAGTTCCAGTAGGGAATCACAGAATGGTTTGCATTGGAAGGGACCTTTGAGATCATCTAGTCTCAAGCCCCATTAGTGAAGAACAGTCCTACCACAATGCTACTGAACTTCCCTGCAAACAAAAATCAGTAAAACAGAACAAAAAAAACCTAACTGTGCATCAGGTACCAGCTTTCTTTCATTATTATGACTGAGCAAGGCAAAAACTTGTTTTTCATTCTTGCGTGCATCAGGCACTACAAGGCTCAGGGTTCACAGTAAGTGTCCCTTAAGAGAAAGTTTTTCACAAAGACAACTGCTAACTGCTGGGATCTAGAGATGTGTAATGCTATAGCATTCCAAATAGATCACCATGACTTCATAGCATTTCCTACATTCTTAAATATTTGGAGAGCAATAATATGAAAAACTGTACTCTGAATACTCAACAAGAATTACAAAAGCATATTTTACTCCTCCTAGTCAAACAAGCTTTAAGGAAACTAGCTTACAACGAGCAAAAAGAAAGCATCAGAATGCAATGTGTTGGTTCTTTTGAGCCAAGCTAACTTTACACACTGGATACAAACACCTTTCCACCTAGCAAGATAACAAAAGTTAGTCACAAAATTATCAATCAGGCAAAGTTTGCTTTCTCAAATTATATCAGGAAGTATATTTTTCATTACAGCAAACTATTCAAACAGTCAGCTCATGACATTTTATCACGTCAAATCAATAATCAACATCATTTATCTTGTAATGGAATGATGACAAAAAATATGTTTACTCAAGGTCTTTGTTACAAAAAAAACAGGTACCTCCCATTTTTCATTTGTGCCTTTTCCTAAATACACACTTCAGATAACAAGCTTCAAATCCAGTTCAAAAAAACTGGATGCTACCATCAAACAATAACAAAACTTCTGTCTTATTTACTTCTGGGAATTTCACAAGAACCACCCTGGTTTCCAAATTACAAATGCTGGAGCTATAAGGCAGCAACTGTGGAAGCTTACGTTGTTTGATTGTGTCCTACCATAAACAACATATATTACTGTATATTTGTCTCAGATGTAATATGTTGCTGTAAAACAAAGATTTTGGCCGTTTTAAGTATTTTCCAGGGACTAACCCTTCAGTCACTGACTCTGAGCTACTAAGTAAGATAAAAACACTTGAATCCTAATAAAATTAATGCTTGCCAAACTGTCACAGCTATCCACAGTAATACTTCTTGTTTACTTGCTCCTTGAAAAGTTCATTGGACTTTCAATGTTTCTTCAGCGCAGTTCATAGGCTACAGGAACATCAAAAGGTTTAATTATATGAATATAAACCACATATCCAATGACTAAGTGAATGCAGCTAAGCAGATAAAAAGATCATAAAAGCTTAAAAGAATGAAACTAGTTTCAACAGACACAAGTAGCACACAATTGGGATAGAAAACATATTAACCACTCCTGAAGTGAATAAATAACTGAATAAAGACCAAGCATACCGAAAAGATAACTCACATTTAATTCTATTATCCACAGCAAAGTTATAAATAAGAGATCAAATGTAACAAATAAACAGAAAGTCCTTCTGACGTCCGATATTCCCTTCTTCTCTCTGACATCATAGGACTCAATCCTGGCCATCAGGTGTGTTGGGTTGATGGAGTGGACATCTCGCAAGGACGGACAGGATTCCACACTGCTACTGTGAGCATTTTCTGCATCATTTGGCACCCGATTCATCCTGGGTTTGCTTACAGTAGTCTTTTTCCAATTTCACCATCACTAGAATGCTGATCCATATAGGAGCAACTTCTAAATAAAAAAGAAACGTACGTTAGTCAGCAAAGCCTCCAAATTCCACTATGCAATTTTACCTTACTATGTCAAGTTTCTCTCTAGAAAAAGTTTCAGCATCTAACCACCCTCATGGCAAAGGAATGTTTTCCAGTTCCCAATCTGACCCACACCTGGTGCAGCTCTGTGCTGTTCTTGCCCTGCCATTGGTGTACAGAAGCAGAGCCAGCACCTCCCTCTGCCTCCCCCTCTTAGGGAACTGCAAAGTCTTCTTCAGGCTGGGCAGCCTGAGTGCCCTCACCTCTCCTCAAAGCACACGTTATCACACATCCAGAGCTGGCACTACCAAAAGATTAGAAGTCCATTAAAATCAAGAGGGCTACAGTAAACATTTTATAAAGCAAATAAGCCACTAGTGAGTCTACAGATAAATTCAGCTGCTATCACATCCTATGCCACCAGACAGAAAGACAACTATGCAACTTCGTGGCAAAAGGTAAGGATGTCTCTACTGACTTCACCTCCACCTTTGCTTTTTAAATGAGATTATCATGCTCACTTCTTACAAAACTCGAACTGATGGCTATACTACACAAGAAACTTCTTCCAATAAAAGCTCCTAGAAGGAGTTAAGGTTCAAGAAAACGCACAGAAACGTTAATTTAATGCAAAATACTCAGAAGAATAAGCTATATGTGCTGCAACACAAATCACATCAGTGGAGTTGCTGTAACACTGCGGGAGCAACTTCTTGAAATTCAAGAACAAAGCTCTGTCTCTTCCTGTGTGGGCTGACTTTCAGTACACCACAAAATGGAAACAAACCCTTCCCACTCTTCCATCTGAAGTAGCAACAGCATTCCAGCTTCCACTATGCAAGAAAACAGGCAGAGAAAGCACAGAAGGAAAAAACAAACAGGCATGTGTAACACAGCTCTGGACAAACAGGAGGATATAGGGACATGTGGGAAAAGGAAAGGTAGGGAAGGAATAGTCAGTGCACATACATTGCAGCTGAGGGAAAGGCAGACAAGTCAGTGTTGGTCCGTGTTTAGGTCAAGTCACACACACACATCCTCCAGGCAGCTTTTCTTGGGCTACTGCAGGAGAAGAGCAGCTGGCCTGCTCCCTGACAGAGGAGCCTCGCCTCTGACCGTGGGGAAGGAGCTGGCTGAGGCAAAGCAAGCCAGCACCCGTCACCAGGTCACTCAGGCACACGGCTACAAGCTGAACCAAGCACAGGACCAAGCACATGCACAGGCTGCCATCCTCCTCCAGCCTGGGAACGGCTTTTCAAATCCAGCCCAAATTCTTCTGGCTCTCAGTCACACATCATAGGAACAGAAAAGCTGGCAGTCTTTCGCTGACCATAATCTTTTAAAGAGATGTGAGCAAAGCACCCTCGGCCTGAGAAACTACAAAGCGGGAATAGGAGATTGAGCTTCCAGCTCCATTAGGAGGAAAAAGAGTAAAGGCAGAAATTGTACTGCATTCTCTCTTGTTACAAGATCCTTTCAAGTAAGTTTAGCACAAGCATCTTCACTGCTGCCCATCTCCCTCCCTGTTAGCCCAGCTTTTGGTGCCAGGACCTTCAGGAAGCACCAGCCTCAGCTCTGTAACCTCATGCTCTCTCTCATTCGAGGCATACACTGATTAGAAATTACAAACACTGCTGAGGAAGTGGAGAAACTTGGAAGTTAAACTCGTATCGCATTTCTGCCTTTTTCTTCTTTAAAACATACTTATAAAAGGGAAGTATTGAAACACCTGAAAGTCATACATTAAGAACGTGAACATGGGATCATTTCACACTGCTGTATCGTATCACAGAATCACAGAATGGCCAGGATTGGAAGGGACCTCAAGGATCATGAATCTCCAACCCCTCTGCCACATGCAGGGCTGCCAACCTGCACATTTAATACCAGACCAGGCTGTCCAGGGCCCCATCCAACCTGGCCTTGAACACCTCCATGGATGGGGCATCCACAGCCTCTCTGGGCAGCTGTTCCAGCACCTCACCACTCTCACAGTAAGGAAACTGATGAACATCTTCAGTAAATAACTACTTTGCAAGCCCTTCTATACCTCTGTTCCAAATACAAGGCGCTGAACCTTCTGCAAGTCACGTTTACCAGTTAGTCTGATACCAACCATGTGTTATCTAAAGCAGCTGCCTATGACAGCGAAGCCCATCATTTAGCCATTCGCTATGCGAGGAACCATTTCAGCACAGTACACAGGAAAGCTGAGAGGAAAGAAGGTTAGCTCATAACATCCTCCAGGAAACTCTGTACCTACTGCCCAAGTCTGGGTCACAAGTAAAACTCTGAAGAAAGCTCTGCCATGGATTTCCTCCATAACAGCAGGCTCACGGCTCTATCTCACTGTGAGCTTACCGGAAGGTCAAAGCATTTAAGAGGGAAATATTTTGCCTTGAGATAAGAATTCACATTAGGAAGTTTGTGACATACTTTCTCCTCTTTTGACTCAAGCCTAATGAAGAGCTATGAGCACAATGAGAACTATCCCATGATTTTCAGTTTGTATTTAAAGTCATTGCCATTATTGCAAATGGCACACATTAAACGTGCATCAGTTTTACATCCATCTTTGAGATACACGATTGGGATGGCACTTTTCTACCACTATATTATTCCAATTCTTCCATTCTACTGTACTTATTTTATTTATATGCTTGCTGTATTCATTTATCACACATGAGCACCAGCACAAATCTTTTTCTTTGCAAGTTCAAAAATGAAACAGATAACAGAACTTAACTGAAATACCAGAAATGATTTGGGAAGGAGAAAAACAAAAAGCTTACTTGAAAGGCTACCAAGATCCAACAGATCACAAGTGAAAGTGAAAGCATCATGAGAAGGCAATTTTAGGATAAGAAAACACTAGAAACAACAGCCTAAAAATATCAGAGAAGTCCACTCAATAAAAGAGAAGCAAAAAATAACCATGTAGATGCTGAAGACAAAGGAACAAAACCAAACAGTGTCTGACATTCAGAAAGAAGATCGAAGATACATCATTTCCATTGACATGTGACATTATAGTCAGCATTCAGGTTATATTAGATTATCGAAAGGCCCAAAGAGAAAATCATCACTGACAAAATTAAAAGCAACTGCTTCAAATCAATATTAAGAGGATTGCGTCTGAGGATCAGCAAGACAAAGCTCATGGCTGCACAGCAAACCATTCATCTGCTGCAGCTCCCCTGCTCTCCAGTTTGATGCTCATGAAATTCCTGCAAACTAGTAAAGCACACCTTCCTACACTGCAGGATAAGGCAAATCAGCTCCACAACAGCTCCTTCCATGTTGTCCTACTCCACTCCTACATCTACATACAGTTATGGATATACTTCATCTTACAGTCCATCCTTTATACTGAGATCCTAACCAGTAACTGCAGGAAAAAAAAAAAAAAAAGTATTTACATACTGACATATTGTTGCATTCCATAGGCACTACATACTTTAACCAATGTAAAACTGAAAAATTCAGCTGATGTACACCCACAAAATTCCTAACCCTAAGTACAAGATACTGTGTGTAGCTTTTTGGCAATAGCCTAAATGCTCAATGAAGCAACACAGCAGGAATTATGAGCTACAAATAAGTCTTCAGTTGGAGGGGAGGAACAAAGCATTTCAGCACACAGGAAAACTCTGTTACCTTTGTCTGAGCATTCAGATCTAGAGTAGCTCTGCTTGTGAAGTACAAGCTCTTACCTACCCAGGTCAAAAGATGTTTTCTTATTCGATGTACGAAATGGATACAATATACTTGAGTACAGCACAGCATACAAATCATTGCAGTACTTAAAACACACATCTGATTTCATACTGATGAACCTTGAAAATAATTTACAAGGAGGATTTTGAAAGACACGTAACCAAGCAGACAGCTGGATGTTAGACTAAACACGAAGTAAGAAAAGAGACTACAGGTGTCCTGTTCAGAAAGGAAACTGAAACACAAAGGTGTTGTTTAGCTAGCAGATTCATATTTTGTTTTGCCAACTTCCTATTTTCTTTCATGTAGGGTTCAATTTTTGTTTTCTACTAAATGATTCCACAGTTTAAGAAGAAACTTAAGAACTTGAAAATTAACTTCTCATTCAAGAAAACTCAAATGTTAGTTGTGCTTTGGTTGAAAGATGTTTCCCCAATTTTCTTATACTCTGACCGTGATCCAACAAAAGTAATAGGGCAGTTGCACACAGCTCACATGCACACTGAACAAGATTTTTCTCAGAGCACTGAACAAAGCTGCTGAAGAGTGCAGGACAGACTTAACAAGCTACAAGGAGAAATGGAAAAAAAAAAAAAAAAAAAAAATCAGTCGAATTTTTGGGTCAGTAGGACATCTGAGGGAACAAAGTTATCTTCCCCTGTCCCAGGAGTGAGTTTATCACATTCAGAAAGTCAAAGCAAAGTGCTCCAACCTTGGACTGATTTCTCCCTGCCCGGCAAAATGCTGCCATCCCTCCCTATCATTTCACTTCTTGCTCTAAAGAGCTGAGAAAATGGCAGAGCAAAGAGCAGGTAAATTTGGTATTGGCAAAGCCTTGCTTTTATCCCCATTGCCACTTCCACCTGCGTGCTTCCTAACAGCACATCCCAAATGAATGATGTGTGTGAGTGGCTTTGTACCTGCACACAGGCATGCTCAAACTAGACTTGGGAAGTGGCTTGTGAAAGAACAGCTCCTAAGATTTTAAACCAAAATGACTTTGAAAGTACACCCCAGAACGAACTCATGAGACACTTGGAAACATACCTGTCTGGAGTTCAGCTTTTGTTTAATCAAAGTGTGCTCTCAAATGTGCAACCCTATTCTGTTTAGAGAAAAATACTACAAAATGACAAATAAAAAGGATGCGTTATAACACATTCCCAATTTGAGACTCAGATCTCATTTCCACTCAGGATATTTAACCACTTCAAACTAAAAGCTAGAAGCACATGCATTTCATCCTTGTTAGCATTAATGACATCTGGAGGTGTTCAAGAAACACGTAGATGTGGTACTTTGGGACACGGTTTAATAAGCAATATGGGTGGTAGGAGAATGGCTGGACTAGATCACTGTAAAAGTCCTTTCCAACCTTAACAGTTCTATGATGAAGTACTTAGAACACATAAAGAGCAAGCACTTCAGTTACAGAATTAAGTATTTCATTTGAAACCATTACATTCCAGCTGATAACATTCACTGACTCAATTAAATAATTAGCAAAGCTAAGTGTTGGCTTTGATTTTTAAAAGATATCACCTTTTTTTTTTTTTTTTTCATTTGGATGTTATGGATTCGTTTTGCCAATGACCTGAAACTATGTCATAATGTTGAGGTTAAGATCAGTCAGTTCCCCACTGCCACATTAATGAATGTACACAGTGCTTTTGTATGTTTTATGTACACATATACACGCCCGTAACATACAATAGCTGTCCCCAGTAGGAAACTCACAAACAGCCACTGATTTCTTCAAAAAGTAGAGGGAGGTAAGAAGGAAAACTGGCCTAAAAGGAAAATAGTACAAGGACAGAGAAAAGACAGTTAACCTCCAAATCCAGTCTTAGCTCTTCTCAACCTTTTCCTTCTCTGAAGGTGACTCTGTAGCCCACCCAGCATCAGTTCCCACTGAGAAGCCTTCTTCTAGGTATCGACAAAGAATATGCTTTATCAAGTCAGCATTTCTCAAAATAAAAAACACAGCCCTTTAAGAGAGACCAAACATCTGATGCTCACTGGAATATCAAGCTCAATACTGGCTTATTACACAGGACACTTGGGAATGTTTGTTTTCTCTAACTGAACAACAAACTCATGCCCCTGGGCTGCTATCCACCTACTACAGGCAAAAGACCAGCTCCTTCTGCACTAGCAGAGAACTCTGGGACTCTTCCTGAAGTACATCAGGCATTTTACACGCTAGTGAGAAACGCTCAGGATTCCATCACCTCCACAGTAACTACTGAACAAAGTGGTGCGAAAGTTTCCTCCATGAAAACTTTATCCCTCTTCAGAGCATCTGAGAAACAGTATTTTTAAAAGCTGATATCCATTTTAAAATACAATACGCTCAAAGACAAGCTTGTATATTTAAAAAATCTGCTGTCCATATTAAAATACAAGAGAAACTTCCCTAAGATCTTCCATTTGCAACTCCTATTTGATAGCTCTTGTGATACTTCTTTACGCTTTGAAGAATATTCATTCTGTTACTTCGGTTTTAATCCTTAAAATGCTTCTATGACACTGTTAAGAAATAATTATCCGGTTCAAGCAGCAAACACTAGCAAAAATGCGTATCTGAACCTTCAGCGTGGAATATTTCCATATCATTCACCTGGTTCTGTCTTTGCTGGGCAGATGTTAACTCCTGATACGTGCAGCGATGCTGTTTGAGGGCTCCAGTTGGTGACTGAGTAGCTGACCTTACATCTCAAACATGATGACTATGAGCTACACATACCGGTTACTTACTAAGACTATTTTTTCAACCTTTATTTCTGCTATTATTCCCAGCTGAATTTAACACAGCCAAGCAGAAAGGCAGCGCTAAAGAGCTGTCTTTCAATACGACTGCCAAGAATTCCAAAATAAGAGCAATTTTCTAGCTGATGTAGTAAAATCAGAGTACATTCAAGAAGCAATGCACCTACGACTCTCTGAAGTGACTCAGCTCCTGTTGGGAGCTGCTGGCTGACGATGTGAATTCACAGCCTGCTGCTGTCACAACAGCCGTGTACCATCACTATCTTGTCAACCTCTTCTGCAAAAGTATTGGCCGTGTTTCGCTCGCTCACTTCACCATTTAAAGGAATGAAATCCTTTAATTCTGGCTACTAGAAATAACGCCTCACGCTACAGAACACTTCCATCACGAAGCTGCACCAGGCCTACTCACAACTCACCCCAAATCTGCTAAAAACGATACGAATCCTCCCCGTTATCCGTGTTCTGACAACGCCGGCTTGGCTAACTCCAAGACATCAGGACTTCCATTAGCGACTGAGGCACAACGCAGCCCCGCACCCCAGCGCACAAGCCGAGGCGCCGAACGCACAGCCGACAGCTGCAGGCCTCCCCGCGCAGCACAACCCCATCTCCGCACGTCCCCGTTCGCTCGCACCGCCACACGCGCAGCTCCCGCACCTCCAAGGCCCCGAGGGCGGCGGCGAGCGCTGCCCACCCTCCGTCTTTCCTTTCCTCCCTCCCTCACGTAGGCGCGGGCCGCCCCCGCGCAGCGGCGGCCTTCTCGCCCGGCCGACGGCTCCCCCCGCTCCCTCGAGGAGTTCGGCCTCCCGCTGCCGGACGGCGGCACATCCTACCATCCTACCCGGCCGCGTCGCTCCGACCGGAGAAGATCCGGCGGCGGCCGAGCAGCGCCGCAGGCCCCGGTTACCGGGGGCGGAGCCGGCAGCAGCAGGGCGGGACTGACCTCTGCGGCTCCGCCCCGCCGCGCCGCCTTCCTGAGCGCAAGATGGAGCCTGAGCTGGGTGCTTTCCGCGTCATTGGCTCCGGGCTCGGGCTGTGGTGCTGTCTTCAGCTCCGTCTGACAGCGAATTGTTCTGTTTTTGAAGTTATGGTGCTGCATATCGTCCTTCAGGAGTTCAAAATGACCTACCCTCCTTGTTTCATCGCACCGATTCCTGTTTTACTAACGGTGCCGCTTGATACTGATTCCTTCTTGTGTGCCCTTGAGCTAGAGAACTTGGATCGTTGTAACTTCACTTTTTTTTTTTTTTGTGGGCATGAATTCCTCGGTCTTGTTTACAAGCAGCATTGTTTTTTTTTGCCTGCTGACTCCTGGAAGGATTTTTCCCCATCAATACCAATTTTATTTTGTCTTTCCACTCCAACTGAGCTGTTAAACCACAGTGAAAATTACATGTTTTCCGGTTCTATTGGAAATAACACCTCAAGACAACACCAAAGCAGACCTCATCAGGATTCCACGCCCACCTGGTGATAGTGGCTAATAGCCTTCCTGTAACAGACAATCTTCTCGGTTCCACATTACAAGCACTATGTTTATGGTAGGCTTTTTGTGCTAATTCCTCATTGCATTAAGAGCCATGTATCTCTGAAGTCTTTAGGCAACCAGGTCTCAACATAAAATGACACAGGAAGGCGTCAAAAACTGTGGTGCAACACTAGTTCACCTGCATTGCTATTAGAAGATGTAATATATTTCAAGAAAAAAACAGCCTATTAACTTGCTTCAGCATGTGCATTTCAGTGATAGCTTTATTTAAAGGGGAATACCTCTAAATGTTAATGAATCAATCAACACAAGTGGCAAAGCAGATTATCTGTCACTGGCCTGAATTCTACTTAAGCTCCTGCATCATGTTAAAGCAGAGTTTTTATATTTACACAGATTAGGATAAGACAATCCAGACATGATTGGAATCATTTGGAGGATATGCCAGAAACTGAATCATCCAGGCAGTTAATAAATGTATTCTTCCCTTTGAGAAAACATGTTCTCTATCCTTATGGAGACCCAAAACTTCTCCAATGTACATATATGTTATAGGGTTTGTCTGCAGTTACATTTTAATAAACAAATGTGCATGAAAATCTGCTCTGAAGTATATGTATATACAGCTATCTATCTCTCAAGAGAAGGAAAGACAGACATTCAGCATGGTAGTCATCCTGCTCACCCTGGTGGGCTCAGCATAGTACCATGCATCTTCAGGGAGATCCATGCACTGTTGCAACAACAAGAAGTCCCGGTCAACCTGGAGCTGGAGCAGAACTGAAAACAAGAACCCTAAGCATTTATTATAAACAACTTTATGGAGGATGATAGCTAAGGTGAATCTCTTCACCTTTGTCCAAAAGAGCTGGAACTTGCAACAAAATGCCCTGTACGCTGCTGTTGGTGGTTGATGAAAAGGGAGAGGAATCAACTCAGCTGTGAGAAAAATCTTGGAAGATCTTTTTGTTACTAATTATTTTTAATCAAAGTCTGTAAACATGTAATCAATTTCTGCCCTTTCATGGAAACACAGAGCCATAGAATATGTCAAGTTGGAAGGGATCCAAGAGGATCACCAAGTCCATCTCCATAAAGGACCACCCAAAAATCAGGATATATGACTGAGATCGTTGTCCAGCTTGGGGCCGTGACCGCTGCCCTGGGAAACATGTTCCATTAACGACCATCCTCAGTTGAAGAACTGTTTCCTGATGTCCAACTGACCCTCCCCTGTCACAGCTCCGTGTCATTCTTTGGGTCCTGTTGTCACCAGAGCATATATCAGTGCTATCCCTCTGCTCCCTTCATGAGGAGCTGCAGGTTGCCATGATGCCTCCTCTCAGCCTCCTCTGCTCTGGGATGAACAAAGCAAAGGGCCTCAGCTGTTCCTCATACATCTTGTCCTCTAGACACTTCCCCATCATCATGCCCAAGCCCACACCCAGTGTTGGAGGTGAGGGCACACAGCAGAGAGCAATGGGACAACCTCTTCCCTTGTCTGTCTGGCAGTGTGGGCCTGATGCACCACTTGTGGTTGGCCCTTTGGACTGCCAGAACACGCTGCTGACTCAGATTCAACTTGCTGTCAAACCAGAAAATGACTTTTGTTATGTTGCTTTCTAAACCTCTAAAATATCCAATAAAAGCAAAGAAATCAAGGAGAGGTTGCACAGCTCCTGTTTATGCCATCAGCAAAATGGACTTGGTGTCTTTTTCTAGTTGGACCTACAGCACAGCCTCTGGGACACTGCTGACATTGTAGAGCACTACCTGGGTATACACAGCTACTGTCATGTAGAAGCCATGCTACTGAAATCACAGAGTATTTGCAAGAAATGGCGACAAACTGGGAAGAGATTGCTGTTTTCTTTTGTTAACATTTCTTGGGAAACCGATTCCTGCCTGCCCAACCTAGAGAACCATAGGGATACCAAGGAGGTGAGAAGAGCTATTCAGGGACCTCACAGGGAAAGGGAGGCAAGGCCCAGAGGAGGAGTGATCTCCTTTAAATACAGTTTTCTTTGCTTCTGGAATCAAATTCAAGCACTTGTGGCTCTGTGCAGGACCAGCAACAAGTGCTGGTCAGTGACATTTGCTCTGGCTGCTCCAGCCAGCCCAGGCCCTGGCTGTCACACAGCGATGTCACTGTGACGTTTGAGCATTTCCCAGAGGAACCTCCCAACAGTTCTGTTGAGTTTTGCTTGCCAACTGGCAGGGCAAAGACTGACTCATCACAGAAAAGCCTCTATGTGAAGATTTCCATCAAACTGAGACAAAAAAATTAAATAAAAATTGAGCCACCTGAATCAGAAACGTCTTCTGTTTCTCAGCCAGAGAAGGTGATTGAGTCCTCAGGCTCGCTTTCTCCTGATCCTTTGGGATAGGACAAAGGAACAATTTGGGATGCTGCTGCAGCATGGATGAAAAAAATTCACAAACTTTTCCTGATGAAGAGGAAGCCAAATGCTTACCTCACATTTCTTCTGAGGAGAGCAAAGCCAGCATCTCCTCAGCCACCAGCTTTCCATAGAAAGTCTGGCAACTGGTTGAAAATGATCAATTTAAGATGCTTTAGTGGGGTCACGGTGGAAACTTTGTTGTTTAAAAAGATGAAGAAATGTTTAAGCCTCAAGTACTGGGAAGGAAAGGACCTGTGAAAAAGTTCTGGACTGAAAACATGAAAAACTTCATTCGCCAACTTAATCTGCATGGATTCACAAGAATGCACTGTGACTGCAAAAGATGTCTGTGAGTTCTTGAATTTCTGACAGAGGAAGAAGCATTTGCTGCTCACAGGAAGGTTGCTCCACAAAGAAACCAACTCTCACAATATTCTGGTGGGGGGGATGGAGGTTCCAAGAAAATAAACCTTGGTGATAGAGGAGGATGAGAGTAAATGTTCTAATCTTCATTTCTTTCTCCGGCTATTTCTGGGTATTTTAGAGGTAACACTGCTAAGTAGCAGAAATATGGATAAAATAGATTTGGGTTACATCCAGAACCCACGGGATGAAAAGATAAATAAATCAGGATATGATGCTTATTTATTTCAATATATCTGCAACACATCTTCTTTTAGTCAGCCTAAGCAATAGGATTGATCTGGCCAATAGACTTTTTTAATGCTCATGTTTGTCTTCAGCAATTACAAGTCTTACTTCTGGTATCTTGCTGTCTTTCAGTCCCAAACTGACAGCAAGTAACTCTTTCCTCTCCTTTGCTTTTTCCAGTTATTTGCTCATGTACAACTTCAGCACCTGGTGATTGCCCAGCCTTCACGTTTGTCAAGATCTCTCTGCAAGGCCTTTCTACCCTCAAAGGAATCTAGTTCCCTTGGGGCCCGTCACCATCACTCGGCGCTGTGCCTCCACTCCCCTCATAAGGAGATGTAGTTCACTGGGAGGGTTGCCCCAGGCAAGTATTTGTACTTAGGAATTGTCATTACTTTTCACGTAAACGTAAGGAGAATGGCTTCTGAATCTCAGTAGCAGCCTGTGTTAGAATTACTTGTCTCCAAAGTGTTTTGATGCAATTTGTTTCATATGTTGTAAAAGCAAAAGCAGCAGCCCTTTTTCACTGCACACTGAAATGAATGCGCATTTAAATAAAGTGTGATTGACATTTGGCTGAACAGATTAGTAGCATAATTTATGAAAACATATGAAAAGGCACTGTTAATTAGGCCTTGTGTCTGGTTATCAAACGACAAGAAAGACATCTTGAAAGTGTAACCAGGATGAATAAACACAGCCCAGCTTTCAGCACGCTAAGGCCTATTGCAGGCTGTGTGTAACCACAGATGTCACAAGTAAATACTCCTGCACACACCTGACCCATTTTTTTAAGGGAAAAATTTAGTATAAAAGAAATAAATGGGATAACCATAATCAGCTGAGACTCAGGCCCCATGTACACATG